TAGATTTGAAAATTAATTAATTTAAATAACAATGTTTTATATTATGAATTTTTAAATTTTGAATTAAAATTTTAATTTTTAAATTAAAATTTTAATTTTTAAATATAAATTGAAATTCTAATTTCTTTTTAGAACCTTGATTGATATGTATTATTCTCTGTATATATAAGAAAGATTTTTAACTGCAAGATGCCAAGGTCCAGAGGAACTGAATTGGAAGATGCTGATGATGTTGAAGAAGTGGAGATTGGGCATTGACTTGACTGCTTCAATTGATTTAGAGTAATAAGTTTGCAGAGCTGCATTCGATGGATATTCTGCAGAAACAAAACGCTTGCTTTTGGTTGGCAGTGCGCCAAGGGTCTAGCATGTATCTCCATCAATAAGGATGCAAGAGATGTGAAGAAAATTTGGCCTTGGTCTCTGTTGCAATTTGCAAGGGTGAGTTTTCCATTTTTTTTTAATCATAAAATTTCCTCCTATATAATAACAAAAGAAAAGGAAATTTCTGTCCCATAGCTTTCTAGTATTAGTTGAGATATGGATATGTTTAATTTTGAGTTGATAATTTTGTTTAAGGGAAGAAATGGTAGTAGCTAGTTTTTGTTCTTATTTCTTAATTTAATAGAAAATATGATCGAATCTCAAAATTAATTTATTTATTTCAAACTTATCAAAAGTAACTTTCTTAATTTAATTTAATTTTTTTTATTATGACTGAGGAATTTGAAGTTTACAGAAAGTTGTGTACTGAGCAAAGTTTAAATTTAAGGAAAAAGGGAATCTACAGACTATCATACTACTGTTTTCTGCTTTGTATTTTGTTTCTTATTAATTCATTTAACTTGTCTTGCAGCTCAATTATATAATATTAGAGCAATCAATTATAAGAGCAATGGTAGTTGGTGGGCGAAGGAAAACTGTCTGCTTTCTTGCTACCCTTCTATCTCTGTTTATAATGTCATTGCTTCTGGCAGATGTTGAAGCTTTTGGTTATCCATCAACTGTGATGCCACCCGTCTCGTGGATTAACAGCGTCCCAACTGACTTCAATTTTTGGGAATCAGCGGGAGAGAGACCTATCTTGGTTAATGGAGTTTTGTTTGTGGCTTCCACTGCAAATTTGAAGGAACCGCCTGCCTCTTTGCTGTATCCATCCTTCCATCCAGTTTTGATGAAAACTCCAACTTTTCCACACAAATGGTATGGACTGCTCATCGAAACAAGCCGATTGGATTTGGGGCAAAATTGAAATTTTCTCAAGAAGGAGATTTAACACTGCAAGATGATCATGGCACTTTGGTTTGGTCTACAAACACAACAGGTAAATTTGTTTCAGGAATGAAGTTAACTCATCAGGGTAACCTTATGCTGTTTGATAGAAACAATGAGACGGTTTGGCAATCTTTTGATCATCCGACAGACTCTTTGGTTATTGGGCAGAGGCTAGTTTCTGGACAGAAATTAGTGGCACGTATTTCAGCCACAAATTGGAGTGAGGGTTTATATTCGTTTTCAATTGATGATGACGGTTTTGTAGCTTCTGCGGGGTCAGATGCTACCATAGCATATTACCGATTCTTTATGTATCCAACAAGAAGCCAAACGGGGCAGTTTTATGCTGAGCTCACGAAAATAAGTTTTGGTCTCTTTTTTCCAGGATCCGGAGTAAGTTTCATACAGTTAGGTTGTGATGGGCACTTGAGGTCCTTCGGGTGGGTAGAATCAAACTGGAAGGAAGTCAAGGATTTCATTGGGGATCAACTCAATCGATGTGATTACCCACTGGCCTGCGGAAGATATGGAATTTGTCTAGAAGAAGGATGTAGTTGCCCAGAACCGGTTGAAAAAAATGGACCTATGTATTTCAGGCGGATAAATCCTTCACAGTCAAGTCTTGGGTGTTATCCAGATAATCCAATATCTTGTGAGTCTCCTCAATGGCAGAGTCTTCTTGAGCTGAAGGATATAGATAACCCTGGCCTGTCAGTTTTGAACTCTCTTGCTTATATCCCAACAGACATAGAGGGCTGCAAGAGAGCCTGTTTAAAGAACTGTTCTTGCATGTATGCTGTTTTTCAACCTTCTATTAAAAATTACTCAGATCGTGGCTACTGCTTTCTTAGATCTGAAGCTTTGTCATTAAAGAGAGCGCCTGCATATTTAAGTCAATCTCTATTTTTAAAGGTGCAGAATTTTCCAATTCCACAAACAAATCATTCGTCACCAACACAGATTCCACAAAGAGAGAAAAGACAGAATGTAGGAGTTGTAGTTGGATTTGCTCTTGGAGTCACTTTTAGTGTGCTTCTTATCTGCACCTTTTTTTCACTTCAAATTAATAACGATGCAGAGGATGTTGAGGAGGATTATTTGGGCCACATATCAGGAGTGCCCATGAGATTCTCTTACGAAGAGTTACGAGTTGCAACCAACAACTTTAGCAACAAGCTCGGAGAGGGAGGGTTCGGTTGTGTTTTCCAAGGAACATTACCTTCTGGTGTTCAAATTGCAGTGAAATGCCTCGATGG